AGCCCGACGCAGCCTTTCCTGCTCAGCTTTTCACCTTTTTCAGACTCTGAAATTACCACTAAGCATTTCTGTTAGTTTTCTATTTATCTCTGTTCCATATGGACATAGATATCATCTATCTGTTCATCTATTTCTATCACCTATTTATCATCTGTCAACCTACCTACCTACCTAGCTAGCTACAGAATCTATTTACATCATCCATCATCCACCTACCAATCTATGTCTATCACCATCTGTATCTATCTATCTTCCCTATGATTTACATCATGCTGTCCACGTGGAAAAGAACTCAAACCAAGTCCTGTCCAAACTGTAACCTCTAAAGCCCTCAGACTCCGTGGTTCCCTCTTGTTCAACTTTTCTTTTACCTTAAAATGATCATATGGAAACCTTCTGCTACCTACTTCCAGAGATTAAGGAATTCATTTATACTAGGATGATCTCAATAGTTGTTGGGAATCTATCGCATCCGTCTCAGGCTGAGGCACTGAGATGACACCTGCACTTCACACACCCACATGTGTCTTTGTACAGCCGTCCTACATGAACGCATGCAAGGAGCTCTCACGAAGGACACAAGTCCCACACATTTCTCACAACTACACTGAGAGTGATGCTCAAAATACTTAAGGACCGGGACATCCGAGCCCAGGCCACTGCCCTGACCTGGCCGGAGGTGCCTGTTGTTAACCCTTTAACTGCTGGACCAGAAGCCCGTGGAGAAGCCTGATGGATGGACGGGGTGACCAGGAGCCTGGGACAGCAGGCCCTTGGCAGCCAGCGTGTCCACGTTCAAATATATTAACAGCAGCCCCCGAGTGCCTGTCCGCCCAGCCCATCCTACCTGCTGCTGAGATAAACCTTCAGGCATTGGGGTCAGGATGGCCTCGGGGTGCCTGCAGTCAACATCGATAAATAGGTCCTGCTCTTCAAGACCAGGTCTGTGATCTTAAAACAAAGTCAAAATGCACTGGTTTGACTCTGAAATAATACACTCAGAACACGTTTACACAGTAAATACCTGCGAGAACAATACCTTCGGAGTTCCCTTAATTGTCTGCCGCTTGCAGAGCACGCCCCCTGAGCAAGCCCCCTGAGCAAGCCCCACTCCACCCCAGCCCTCACGCTCCCCCGGGAGGCCTTGCCAGCTGCCTCGGTGGAGCCCAAGAAGCAGGGGCTGGCGTCTGTGGGGGTGGGAGGGCTGCCGGGGCCGCAGACCTTGGGAAATGAAGGACTTGGTGCGAATGAAGGACCGGCCCCTCTTCACGGCGGCCTTCGTCCTCTCGAGCCCGTCCTTGGTGCCGTCCTTTGCAGCCTTCATGAGCTTCTGCATCTAAAAGAGGGAGAGGTGAGAGGCAGGGCAATGAACTCCACACAAACCTACTTGTTGCTTTTAATTTATTTTAAAAGAATACTGTCAAGTAGTTGGGTCTTGAAATGTCACCAGAAATTGGCTTTTTGATCTGGGAGAGCTTTTTCAGCTGTTGTGAGCACATACTTATTTTGGGATTGTTTTAAAAAAGTGGGGGAGGAGGGGAAACAAACTTTAAAAACAGAGCCCTTCTTTGACTTGGTTACGAAATTCCCCGCTACGTTTAAAATTCAGTCCTTAGTCCTCGTTTTTATTATAATCACTTATAAATACAAAGAGATCTGTAGACATGGCAGGTGGAGAAATGAAAGCCCATAGGCGGTAAACAGCAAAGCACAGGAAACAGCAGAAACCTGGCCGCACACCTGCACTGCCCACCTGCCGCTGGGCGCCCACCGGTGGTGCCTTCCTGTGCCCGCCCAGGCCTCACAGGGGTGCGCCCGCCACACGGGGCAGCCTGTGCCCATTCAAATGGCCAGATGGAGTCAGACGACATATAGGCAGAGGGACGCCCCTCTGCAGGGGGTTGAGTCAGAAAGACCGGGCCCCACGCAGGGGAGTTTGTCGGCTGTGGGTCCCTGGAGCCCCGGTCTTGGTGTAACATGTAGATGGGCCATTAGAGCTCGGAAGCGCCCAAGGACAGGCCCTGGCATTTAATCTACATTTTCTGATTCTTGAAAAACCTCACATCTGAGGCACCGGCCATTCATTGGGCGCCAAGTGATGCTTCATTTAGAGAAAACCCAGATGGCCTCCTATGCGACACAGCAGTGCAACTTCCTTTCCAAGTGACCCCTCATCCTCCTGGAAAGCCTCTTCTAGCAAAGGCGGGGTCCCACGACCCTTGCCCGCTCATCTGTCTGCTGTCTATCCCTCTCTCAGGCCTGCCTTCTCCTGCTGGTGCGCCCCAGGAGCAGACCTTCAGGGGCACCGCCCGGCCGTGTTTGTGCAGAGTGGCACCGGCCCAGCCCTCGGGCCTGCGTGGGAGCCTGCGTGGGAGCCTGCGTGGGGAGCTGGCTGGAATTTCGCACTCAGCCTCAGGCTGCACTGCGCTCTGTGGATTTCAGGCCAGCACTGTCTGCTCCCCGTCGCTCCCCTGGGGAGCGGAGCTTCCAGGTTGAGGGGAGACCCCTGCACCTCCGCCCGACCATCTCTGCGGGTCCCTCACCCCCATGCCTCAGGCCGCCTTCCCGAGGAAGCGCACCAAGACCGCCCCTCGGCCCCCTGAAACCAACCACGAGCCGCTCACCAGCAGGACCCCACTCCAGTCCTGCTCTACCTCGTCAACACCTCAAGGCCATCTGGGCTCCTCTGACCCTGTGTCCCTTCAACCCGAACCAGTCGCACCCTGTGGACGTGCCCCTGAACACGCTGCCCGCCTCCCGCTCCTCGGACACCACCGTGCCGTCCCGCGGCCGTGCTTTCCCGACCCCACGCGCCCCGCGCCTCTGCTCCGAGTCCACCCCACTCTTCTCAGAACTGGACGGCTACACTTCGTTCTTCATCCTGACCCCAACCAGGCTCCCTCCATCGAGAATCAGAGCTGCAGACAGACAAGCAAGGAGCCTCAGGCTGCAAGCCCCCGTCCACGCGGAGCAATAAACACACAGGGTCCAGGGAGCTGGAAGGACTGCGAAGGTGACACAGCCAGCCAGGACAGAGGAGCCGCGTCCCTGACGCGTCCTGCGGCTCTGTGGGTACGGGATGAGGGGCGTCGCCCGGCCTGGCCCTCAGTCACTTCCCCGTGGCGGCGCTCACTGCTCCCACGCACCCACGCTTCCTCGGCCCCTCTGCTCCCTGCCGTCAGCGTGTTTCCAGCCGCCACTGCGCTGGCCTCCTTCACACACGTCCATCCGAGACCAGGCCCTGGGCTCCCTGGAAAGTCGGCCGGACGCTGGCTTCCACCTGCACGGCCACGCGCCCGGGCACTGCCTCCTGCCAGGAGCCAGCCTGACGCCGGCCTGGACGCCAGGAAGCCAACCCAAGGCTGGGCGCCTGCTTGAAAAGCCTGCGACACAAGAATACTGGGGAGTAAAGCAGCTGGCTGCTGCGGGGGGCCTTTCAGGTAAGGGCCATTCCACACATGTAAACAAGTCACAAAACATCAGAAGGGCAAAAGGTCAAATTGAAATGAAAGTTACTTGACAGTGCCCTTTTAAAACACATCTCAAGGAACTGATCGTCACCAGGTTCAAATCCAGCAGTTCTCAAACGTTCGGTCTCAGGAGCCTTTTACTAAATTTGTCAACGTGATGGAGAGCCGCACTGAGCTGCGGTTTACCTGGGCTTTATTCAGCTGTGTATACTGTATGACGAATTAAAGCTGAGAAAATTCTGAATATTTTTAATTAGCATTCAGTTAAAAGGAATAATAAGCCTATTACATGTTACCTTAGATAACACATTTATGAAAAATTATTATATTTTTGAAAACAGATGGCATTGTTTTGCGTTTTTGGCAATCTCTCCCGTGTCTGGCTCAGAGACAGCTGGATTCTGCCTTCAATTGGCTGTGAGGTCACACATGTCGGCACCTCTGGAAAATCCCTCCGTTCACATGGGAGTGCATGAGAGAGAGAGAGGCAGATGCCTCTGAATTAATAGGAACTCGCTGAGAGCGTCGGGGTGACGTCTGGAACCCCTGGACCACACTTTGAGAACCGCCGTCCCAATAAAAAACGGCCGACTTTGTTGCCTTCACATTGCTTTTTAAAACATGGCCTAGTTTTGAATAAGCATTTTCAACGTAGCTGGTCAAAAAGCGAACCACACTACCTTCAGTTCATGCTTTTGCTTTAGCTGCTGAATCTCTACCGCTCCCACTGTGTTTGCCATCAAATCTTTCATCTTTTTCTCATAGTGCTCCTTTAAACGGGTTAGGTCATGGGAAAGCTACAGCATAAAGAAATACAATTTTTTCACAAAAACGCTCTTTTTTGGTACTTTACACAATCTTACATTGAATTGACTCCAGCAGCGTCTGGCGAGTGGTGCTCCCACGCCACGCTGCTCCTGCCACGGGCTCCCAGGGACCACACACCACGCAAGCCCCTATTGCTAGCCCACCGACTCTTGGAAATAAAATCGTGAGTGAGTAAAACATCATCAAAAGGCAGATGCAATTTCAGGTGAGCCAGGCTGGCGACTTTTCTATGCAACCAAGAGCAAATAAATACACACCAAAAAAAATCTGTGCAAGATCATTCCTTAGTTTGATGAAATCAAAATAACCAAATATAGACAATGTGTATAAAATTATTCCTTTACATCAGCACCAAATAAGGAGCTTGAATTTGAGGCTGTACTGAAGGGTGGCATAATGCGGGGACAGCCAGCACAGACATTTAAGTCCCCAAACTGACGTAACTTCTCTCCAACTGGTGGGGATGGGGTGAAATCTCATAAATCACGGTTGTGTGATCACAAATGTCTCAAATATGCAAACTGGGGCCCTTCCGCTCCTCTGATGAACGCTTCCCATGTCAACCAGGGCGAGGACACAGGAAGTGATTTTTGATAAAAATTTGAGACTGTTTCTGAAATGACGCTCCAAGAACTTACAGTGTTGTTTTGGTGGTTTTTACAATCTGACTTCTTCAACTGGAAAACTGGGTACTGCTTACTGCTCTCCCAATGTGAACACCCGGTCTTCCCATCTGGGTCCCAGGATGTTGCCAGGAGACGGAGCGAGGGAGCGAGACGAAGCCATGCTCCCGCCCCTCACTCGCGAGCCAGTTTTGCGGGCCGCGCACCTGTCTGTCTGTCCTCCTAGCACTGGGGCTGCTGAACCACTGGCACTGTGGGTGGTCTGTCTGGGAACAGGGTCCATTCGAATGGACGGCAAGGAGACCAGGGTTTTTGTTAGATAATCATGCTCTGGGTTCATCGGGGGTCCAACCATGACCTAGCCCATCTGTGCTGTCATCGCCCAGGCTGGCTAAAGATGAAATTGAAGAGTGTTATGACCGCTCTTCCACGGTACCCACTGAACACTCCACCCTGCTGAGATCAGACCCCAAAGCATTACTTTTAAGTCTCAATTCAAGGGCCAGCCGAGTGGCTCAGTTGGTTAAGAGCGCGAGCTCTGAGCAACAGGGTCGCCAGTTTGATTCCCACACGGGCCAGTGAGCTGCGCCCGAGATGAGCTGCCACTGAGCTGCCAACAGGTGACAGGATGGCTCAGCTGGTGAGAGCACATGCTCCTAACAACAAGGTTGCTGGTTCAAGATGGTGGGCTGTGCCCACCCGCAACTAAGCTTGAACACAGCACCTTGAGCTGAGCAGCCGTGAGCTGCCAACAGACGGCCAGATGGCGATTGGACTTGGAGCTGAGCTTGCTGCGCCCTCCACAACTAAGACTGAAGGACAACAACTTGGCTGTTCCCCTTCCCCAATTCCCCAATAAAATCTTTAAAAAAAAAAAAAATCTCAATTTAAACCCAGAGCGTCAGCCTCAGCTGTATTGAGTCAAGTCCACCTGCAGCTTCCCAGACCGGCTCGGCTCAGCTGTAACAATTCTGGTGACGGAAGGGCCGAGCTCCTGGGAGAGGCCTGCGGTGACACCGAGCAGTGGGGCCAGCCACCACACATGGGTATTGTCTTGAGTTTCATGAAACAAGTTTACAGACATGAGAATAACCTATAACAACCTGTACGATATGCCACAGACACCTGGAGGCCACAGCCAAGTGTATCCATCAATCTGGTTCCTGGGCACGGGCAGGGTGGACCTGCTTACCCATTTTGTTGTAATGGTGAGGCGTGAGGTCACAGGCTGCATCGATCACAGGCAGTCTGTCTGGCCCCTGTGTGCATGTGGCCTGCATGTCACCCTCACACAGGAAGTACATGAGTACGTGGACACCACTGCAGACATCAGTACAAATCAACCCTTTTACAAACAGCCGAAAACCCAACAACAAAAGCACACACAGAACAGACAGTCACCACTGAAAGCTGGACAGAACCTCACTCGGAGGACTGGCCTCAAGAGAACAACACCCAGTTCTAGAACTCACGCTTCAATCTCCAGTTCCTTCTCAGACCCTCAGCTAAGGAACGTCACACGCACGTGCACACTCATGTACACACACACACACACACACACACACACACACACACACACACTCCCTTTAAGGAAGCACAGCCCAGGGCAGTTAGCAGCTTCTGCCCACATCACTTGTAACATATCCTGTTTTTATACCTTCCTGTTGGAAACACTGAGGTTCAAACCACCCTTAAGGGACAGCGGGGCTGTGCCGTGTCTCAGGCAGACCCGACTGGATCGAGTCAGCGTGCAAAGCAAGCAATAACTTTGTGCACGAATAGGGTTACATGTACATTGCACAAGCAATCCAGAGAACGTCTGTCTACTTTCTTAAAACATTCAAGACAGCAAGCTTGCTTAGGGCCTTTAGTGATTTAGCTTATAAAACCAATTTTCCCACCCTGTCACGGTTACTCACACTTGCTTTGTGAAATGAGGGGTGCCTTCTCATTTGCCACTATCTTGTGCTTTCCTCACACTATGTACCAACATCTTAAAGAATAATTATTTAGCTACTCTGTGAAGCGGCATATAGTTTATAGTTCCGTTCACATGTTGAAGCGAGCTATTCTTCACTTAAACGAGCAGACGGAACACTCACCTGTTTTTTGTGGTTGCTGCGCAGGAAGGACCTGGGGACGCCATTCTTGCACTCGGAGTCACTCTGCTCTTCGTAACTTTCAAATTCACTCGAACTCCATCCGTACTCCAGAGAACTGTTCCCACCTTCATCTCCATTCTCAACATCGTCGTAAACCATTTCATCTGATGCGTCAATGCCAGAATGAAATTAAAAGCGTAACAATCACTAGCTGCCCTCGCGTGCATGTCTGTCAGTATACCTCACTGAGAACGGGGGTGGGCATTTCAGAACAGCCAGGAGAAGCGGTGCAGAGCCCCGGGCCCGCTCCTCCGAAGGGCGCAAGGTGGGCCCTCCGGGGTGGCGGCGAGGCACGGGGTTTGACAACGTTCTGATCCTCCAGCCTGTCTGTGTCCTGAGGACCCTGGTCCTCCACAGATTCCACAATCACACCAAATGATTCGCTGGCCACAGACAGCTTTCCATGAAGGAAATTTTTCTTTAGATAAATGTTTGGAATATAAACATATTAGTTCCATGAATGAATGATGGATGGATGGACAGAAAGGTGGATGGATGAATGGATGGACGGGTAGATGGATGGACAGACGGGTTGATGGGTGGACGTGTGGATGGATGGATGGATGGATGGATGATGGGTGGATGGTGGGTGGGTAGATGATAGTTAGAGAAGAGTCAAATATGCGCCCAGTAAAGCTCACTGTAGACAACTGTAAGCTTTGCTGTGCTGAACATGACCTCATAAAGCTTATAAACAATCTACTGCTGTATTTAAATGGCTTCATCACGTCACTCATGTCAGAATTCGTGAAGAGCACACCACACACCCTGACAAAGGTGCTGCCAGCCGGGGCTGACCAGAGCTGCGCTGGCAGGTGGGCTGCTGTACACACTTCCCCGGGTAGTGGCCCAGCTCCGCCTGTGCTGGGAGCAGCCTACCTGGTGGGTAAGTTCCCCAAGATGCATTTCAAGCTTGTTTTTACAGAAACTACCCTTTAGTTGCCACTTTGTTCACTTCATGGATTTAAGTAACTACCCAGGAGCATATTTATTCATAAGCACTTGGGAGTTTTATTTATGCAGAGGCCCAATTGTAAGCATGTGTCTTTCCAGTGTGGGCTCCAGATAGCGGGGACGGCTCCGCCAGCCGAGAGGGGACAGCGCTGGGGACGTAACTGCTCACAGCCCTCGTGGAACTGACACGCCGAGACCCGCTTCAGCGCTCCACCGTTCAGCCTGCAGTAGATGTGAAGGGCACGCCCTTCACCAGGGAAGGTTCCTTCTGAGTCTTTCCATCCAATGGCCGCTGGATCCTACTGAGCGTAGACTGAGATGAGGTTACCGGTTACGTCGGCCAGCCTGCTCGCTGGGGAGACATTAAACAGCCTGCTGCCGAGGAAGGGTCCTTGAGCTCCCCCGAGGAATCCGAAGGCCCAGGACGGCCCTTCCTTGTTGGTTGGGATTCTGCGGGACTTGATTTCCTGACGTTTGATTCAGGATATTCAGCATCAGGCCTTCCAGGTGAAGGGGACTGTGTTTACGCTGACGCCCTGACGTGGGTTACGGGGTGTGCTGTCTCAGTCACCAGGCCTGCCGTGCCTTTCGCTCTTATCACGCGAATCTCCTTCCTCCACATTCTCTGACTTTGCTCTGCTTTTATGCACCAAGTTGGATGCTGAGCTCGTTGTTTTTCACGTTTTTTTTAACAGATACCATTGTTTCTATACAATTCCTTATTATTTTAAACCTACCCCATAAGTTTTCACGTAATGTTTTCATTATTCAAGTCAAAACATTTTCTAATTTCAATTCTGATTTCATATTTGGCCATGAGTTGGGTAGTAGTGTGATTTTTAATTTTCAAATGTTTGTGCTTATTTTTCATTGGCATTATCCGGTTTTTATCAAGAAATGGGCCTGAATACCAGTTTTTTGGCATTTGTTAACATTTGCTTTGAGGCATACTATTATGCAGTTAATTTTCAGAAATGTCCCATGTGTTTGAATACAATGTGCATTCTGAAACTCGTCACTTCAGGGTTCTATACGTGGCCCTGGGTTAACATACACTGTGCTCTCTGTAACTTACTAATGTTTTACACAGATCCATAACGGTGGAGAGAGCTTTCTTAAAATCTCCCGCTTATTATGCATTTATGTATTTCTGATTCTATCTCAGTCAGATTTTGCTTTACAAATTTTAGGCTATGTTGTTAGGTGCACACAAGTTTAGAGCTGTTACCTCTCTCTACTGTGAAGGCCTCTGTGTCTAATGTTTCATAGCCTAACATGTTAATATATTATTATAGTCAAAGTGGCTCTATTTTGGTTAGAATTGGCCCTATGTTCCTTTTTCCATCCACTTATATACAAATGTTCTTATCCTTAAGTAGTTCTCATAATCTGTGTCTGGCTTTGCTGTGTTATCCAACCTGAAAATTTATTCCTCTGGCAATTGCAGTCATTTTACATTTACTATACATACCAATATATTTGGACTAATTTTGATATCTTTTTTCATACTAGTTGCCATGCTTTCTTAATTTATATTTTCTTGCTTTCTACCATATTGGATTTTGCTCTCCCAATTTGGAGGTTAAATAATCTATTTCTAAAACAAAGACAAAAAAAAAAAAAAGGAAAAAACAAACAGAAAAAGAAAAACAAATAATCTATTTCTATTCTTTTAGTAGTTACTCACCAAATGTAGACCTGATCTATCATATCAAAAACAAAAACAAGGGCCGGCCGAGTGGCACGATGGTTAAGAACTGGCTTGGGACGCCAGAGGGCCCCGGTTCGGATCCCACATATGTGGGCCAGTGACACTGCCCTCCGCAGCTAAGATGCTGAACAACAGCTCAACCTGTTGCTGGGCTGCCATGAGGCGCCGGCGACGGCGTAGGCTGCAGCCCCTGTGGCAGTGGGTTGCCATGGGCTACCGTGTGTAGCCGGCAGCCAGCGTGAGCGGCCAGCAGCCGCAGTGAGCGGCCGTCCAGAAGCTGGTGACTGATCTGCCTCACCCGGGAAGAGCACAATGATGGTGCCAACTTGGGCCAGTGAAGCAACGTCCTCCACAACTAGACTGAAGAACAAAACGATAGCAACTTGTCTGTTCCCCTTTCCCCAATTCCCCAGTGCTGTTCCCCTCCCCCAATTCCCCAATAAAAATCTTTAAAAAAAAAAAAAAATCAGTATCCACACCCTCCTCCTGAAAACACACACAGCCCAGGGTCTCGGCAGCGCCCGCCCCGTTCTCAGAGCCCATGGCCTGCCCAGGGCCTCAGGGCCTCTGTGTGCTGCGCTCTTAAAGGGAAACAGCACTATTGATGCTGTGACGCTGGTTTAGATGCACCCCAAAATTTGTCAGTTTAGTTGCTCACTATTCTTTTTTGTTTCCTATCACGTTCAGTATCCTTTTCCTTGAAATACATTAAATATTTCTTTAGAGTCTGAGTGGTAAGTCTCCCCCATCTTTGTCTGAATTTGCCTCTATTCTCTTCTTACAGGGCTATACTTTGGCTGGATGTGGAAAGTTAGGTTGAAATACTGAGTTTTCTTCAGCACTTTGGGAACATTGTCCAGCTGCCCCCCGGCGTGGTGACAAGTCTGCTGTTCTGTGCAGATCGCGGCTCCTTCACACACAGTCATGCTCTCGCTCGTTAGGACATTCACAGCGGCCTTGGCGCTCAGCAGTGTCGGCTGCATGTGCCGAGCGAGGTGTGGGCGGACGCTTGGCCTGCGCTGGATTTGTATGTCTACAACCTGAGAACTTATGACTTTCCCTAATTCTAGAACATTCTTAGTAACTCTTGCTTCTGTTTTCTCATTTATTAGACATATGCTGGTACTTCTCAACCTCCACATGTCTCACCTTCTCATTCACCGTTTTCCTGTCTTCAGCTCCTTATGCTTCTTGAGGGAATGAAGACAGCCTCTGTCAATGTTGTGACATAAACACACACACACCAACCCTCTCGCACATGGTATCAGTGAGACACAGGAACATACAGAGCATGAACATGACACACACGGGCTACACATCTGGGGAGCGTGCACACACGAGGCATTTTCACATCCATAGGGCAACACGCTAAACTGAATCTCCTAAACCCCAATTCCAAAGTCAAACCTGGTTCAGAGTCTGAATTTTCTCTTGGCACATCATCGTAAATGGCTTCCTCTGGATCTGGAAGGAAAGAAGGGGCAGCCTTACAAACTGACCAAGCTCAACCGAGTGCAACTTACATGCTCTAGGGCCACAGCTCCTTATGACGATATACCACCCCAAAATTTAGATTGCAACTACTGTTAATTAATGGTACCTTACCAAAGCACAAACATTATTTTTAGGGCATGATATTTTCTTGGGGTTGAAGGAAATCACTCTAAACACACGAGTTGTGAAATACCTCTAATAGGGGGTTTTACAGTTTCAAGGCTAATTTCGTCCATTGTTTTGTGTTCAGTTATGTATTTCTGTATGGCTCTTTTATAAACATTATAAAGTTATGGTGTTCTGATATACAAAAAATACAAAAGTGACATACAGTTTCAGAAATAAAGGGACAGCTCAGCTGATGCTCTATTAAGAGGGGAACTTAGAATAAACTAACGACGTTAGGGTTTTGCACCTGGATATGAAAGGTAGCCACCTGCAAGTATAAAAATGTTTAGGACAAAGCTTCTCAAACTGTACAATGTGGAACATCAGTGTCCTATGAAATTATAACAAGTTTTCTTAAATAAAAGCGTGGGCGGGGGGGCCTCCACAGGCAAAACTCTTAGGTGTGCGCTGTACTGGAAGGTCATGGAGGAGGGTGGCAAAAAATCTGAAATTCATTTAAATGTCTGTAAGAGTTCCATGCTTTATGTGGAAATCAAGCAAACCATGTCTTACTCTATGAAAACCATAAAGGTCACTGGTCACAAAGCAACACAAGAAAGGAAGTGAGGTGAGTATAACTACCTGTCCCTCTGACCTGCAGCCACTGTCACCATCCCCACGTTATGAGGGTGGGGGCTCAGGAACAGTCTTATTCTCTTGCTTTCTTGTAATATTTATTAACTGCCACAACAGTGACTATTCTTCTCCTGTTAGATAAGGTGAGGGACTACAAGTTTACAGAGCTTACTTTCAAATATGGTTATTCTACTTAACTGTCATTTGGGAATACAAACAAGCAGTGCGAGAAATTCAGACAAATTTTACTTTGAAAATAAAATTGTTAGATAATAGCAAGACAATAATTTAATCTTGTAATGATCCTGATTTATTACCTCCCTAGCAGAGTCACCTAACTACATTGATTCCTTTGTTTTAACAATGTCATAATTAAAACCAGAATGAAGTGTTCCAGGAGATAATTTAGTAATTAGGAGACAGCTAGGAATAGTACTGTCTTGTAAGTCAATCATATAAGACAATTACACAGATATTAGGGAGCCAGTGGATAATAAATGAGATGATTTAAAAAGCAATCTTTACTTTTCCTTTAAAAGTTAAAAAATAAATAAATCTAGCTAAAAATAGCTGAGCTTTTGAAACCACACGTGGAACAGAAGGTCTGGCGTGCCATCTGGTCAGGGGGTTGGCATAACCACCCACCCACCCCCTCTTCAAAAACGATGCCATGAAAAAGCACCTCACTGGGGAACGGCAGGGCAGAAGGCTCGTTAATGTGTGGGTGACCTGCTGGTCGTGGGCAGGGGTCAAAGCATCCACTCCCCAAACCCACAGCGGTTACAGGACAAACAGCAGGATCAGGTCTGGAAGGAGACGTGTGTTGGGCGCAGAGCTGAGACAACTGAGAGGAAACGGGGTCCGGCTGGTGAGCCCGGGAGTGCAGACAGTCAGCTCTGCTAATGCGCCAGGTAAATGAATGTCATTTACAAGTTTTAGACCCAACAGGGCACGAGGCCAGCCTGACAAACACGCCAGGCGCAGCGCGGCGCGGGCGTGGGAGGCGCGGGCGGGCGCTTACTCTCCATCCAGGCGGTGTTGGCCGGATCTGCAGCCCACCGGGCGAGGGCACTGTCTTCCGAGCGGACCCGATCCTCACTGAAGGAAAACAGACCATAAAATCAGGATACTGAGCCTCTTTCAGCGACTAGGTTGCTCAGTGTCCCCAGAGTATACACATGCCACCACACGCGTGAACTGTGTATTTTCCCAGATATGATTACGGGATGTCCCAAATTCAAGTTTTCATTCGTAGCTCTTTACAAACCAGGGATTAGAAGCCCCACCATGTGCAGAGCACGTCTGTCACGCAGGAGCGTGGAGGGGTGCAGTCCCTGCTCCCAAACTCCTCAACGGCCCCCGATTCTCAGCAGGCCTTGTGGGGGGCCCGCTACGTGCCACCACGACACCAGGCTGCAGAGGCACACCCGGGTGACACGGGCCTTCTCGGCCTCAGTACAGGTCCTGAAGGAAGGAGACACCGGACCACCAGACGCAGCAAATGCTCAGGACTCAGCCTGCAGTACAGTGGCCACGGGGCCACGTCAGAGTCCCCCACAAAAAGTGACCTGGATGTCACCCTGCAGGAAGGAGGGGGAGCCAGTGGATTGCTTCATTCGGAGGAGTGTCGAGACCAGGTTCACACAACAAATCGTGCGTCGCCTCTGAGAGGCGCAGCGGGGACACTAGGAACAGAGTAGACCAGAGCGCAGGGCGGGCGTCCCAGGGGAGCGTGTCACCCCGAACAGCAGCGTCCACACTGAACTGGGAAGGAGAGAGGCTGGACCTCGGGCGAGCATCCGGGGGAACACAGGCAGCTCTGAGAAAAGGCCGTCACGGGGAGGTCCGTGGCCACAGCCAACCACACTTCAGAGTAGGTGACAGAGATGGCGGTGTCACCTCAGTGATAACAAGCGCTCTCTTTTATTACTTTTTTATGCTAAAAGTTCTAATGAGCAGTGACATAGTTACAAGATTTAAGAGATGAGGGAAAAGAGCAAAGGTCTGGAAAACATCCGGATAACAGACCCTTTAGCTGCTCGAGGGTGTGCGTGTGTGTACGCAAGGAGACACCGTCAGGCCTGTGCTTAGTGGAAGAAATCATCACACTCCAGAAAGAGTATTCTGGCACTTTCTAAGTTTGAAATGATAACAAAATAAAAAGTTGCCCAAAGAAGTAAGGGAAAATCTGAATCAAACATGAATGGCATTTCAAATTATTCCTGAATGTTTCCTTCCATATGTTTAAAAAATTTTACACTTTTGAAAATCATTTGAGGTTACCATTCACTTCATTTTATATTTTTTTCTTCCAAAAATAATCGTCCTTTCAAAGAATATATTCTTCACAGAAAATTTTAGGTCACCAATGATAACATACCATCCACTCATCTTCAATTATACACAGAAGTGTGATTTCTAATAAAGGCTCTGGGGTAGATCTACTTTGTGACATAATTCTGTATGTAAGCTGGGTAGAAAATTTTGTCGAGTGAGTCCTTTCCCCAGAGATCCTGTCTCAATTTTAGAATTCCTATAAGAAGCATTTTAAGACCTTTAAAGCCCAGTGCTAACGACTGCAAGGAAAAGCAAACTGAGTGTGAGAACAGCAGGGCTCAGCTCCCACCCTGGGCTCCGCCTCTGCTGACGGCTGCACGTGTGTAGGGGACCCCGCGGCCACAGCGCTGGGGAAGCTCAGGTGCCATCACCCATCCACCTGGCCACGGTCACCGAGGGGCCCTGAGGGCAGCATGATGGGTCCTGCAACCACACTGCACGCAGGACAGAGCACGTCCCCCACACAGGGGGCCGGACGGGTCGCTGCCTTCTGCCTGTGGCACTCAGACAGGGCCCCGTGTGTGAGGCAGAAGAAACTGGGCTGTGCTCTGAAATACGAAAGGCGACAGATCAGGGAGGTGACAGTCTAGACAGACAGACGGGCATTCAGAGTGGGGAAGACCCTTGGGAGGGACTCAGGGGACATGTGGATGTGGCTGGAGAGAGAGAGCTAGTTGAGGAGAGCGATAAGAAAAAGCCTGATATATCACAATAGATTTATATTCTAGGGAAATGTATTCACTCATTCATTCAATAGTAACTTCCTGAGAAACTGAAGTAACTTATCTTTCGGCCGAGGGCAGGCCCTCTGTTACAGGCGCTCACGCCCCTTTCCTTCAGAATGCGGCCTCTGAATGATGACGCGTCACCAGTGCGGCTATCTGATGAGTAAACCTCTGCCCCACTGATATTGTAAGAAGAATAAAGGCGCTGAGACCGGATGACTTACCATTCTATTCCTGACGCCTAACCGCGTACACGTTTGGCAAAAGAGAAAAAATAAAAAGCACACCAACCAGGCGCCACGTACTGACCATGCTAATTGGCAGATGTAATGAAACCTGGTCAGACAAACCAGACTTCAAATCAAAAAAGTTTACAACAGACAAAGAAGGATATTATATGTTGATAAAAGAGTCAATAAAGCAAGAAGACATCACAATTACAAACATAAACACTACTAACAAAGGGGCCCCAAATATACAGTACAAAAATGGAGAAAACTGAAGGGAGCGATACACGGTTTTACAATAATAGTTGGGGACTCCAATATCGCACTTACAATAATGGACAGAAAACCAAGCAGAAGATCATTAAGGGGACAGAGGACTCGAACAACACCCCACGTCAAAGGGACCTGAGAGGCATATAGGCTACCCAATGTGAAGCACTAAAAATAAAACTAACAAGTAAATAAATAAACAAAAGGTTTTTAAAGGCTAACACTAAGTAGAAAACAGCGAAAACGCTTCATGACATTGGACTTGCCAATGCTTTATCAGATATGACATTGAAAGCAGATAATAAAAGAAAATAATAGATAAATTGGACTTCATCAAAATTAAAAATGTTTATGCATTGAAGGATATTATGAAGACAGTGAAAAGAAAACCCACAGAATGGGAGAAAATATTCACAAATCTAATATCTGATAAGGGATTAATACTGAGACTATATAAAGAACACAACTCAACAATAAAAACCAATTCAAAAATGGACAAAGGACCTGAATAACTTTCTCCAAAGGTGACACACAGATGGCAAATAAACACATAAAAACATGTTCACCATCCTTAGTCATCAGGAAGATGCTAGTCAAAACCACCAAGAGAAACGTTTCACCCTCGCTAGGATGGTTATAATTTTTAAAAATGGGAATTTAAGTTTGGTGAGCTTGTGGAGAAACTGGCACCCTCACACAGCCGGTGGGGATGTGAGACGTTGCAGCTGCTGTGGGAACAGCCTCGCTGCTCCTCTCGGCGTGGACCGTGGAGTCCCCACAGGACCCAGCAATTCCGCTCCTGGGTGTGTATGCAGAGGAACTGAGGGCGGGGAACCGAGCAGACGCTCCTACGCGGGCGTCCGGAGCAGCATTACTGATAATGGCCAAACAGTGGAAACAAACCATGTTTCCATCAACAGGCGAATAAGGAAACAAAATGTGCTATATACATACAACAAAATATTGTTCAGTCTTCAAAAAGGAAATTCTGACACACGCTGAAACATGGATGGACCTTGAAAACGTTATGCTCAGCGAAATAAGCCAGACACAGGAAGACAAACACCGTGTGAGTCCACTAACGGAACAAGAGCCAAGTCGTAGAGACACGTGCAGAACAGAGATTACAGGGGCTGGGGAGGGGGCGGGCGCCCGTCGTTGATGGGCAGTTCTGATTGCGGTGATGAAAACGTTTCAAATGTAGAGAGGTGGTGTTTGCGCAACACTGTAAATGTATTTTATGCCACTGAATTTTACACTTAAAAATGGTTAAAATGGCAAATTTTATGTAGAGATTTTTTACAATTTTAAAATGAATAATGCAACATACCAGAAACCATAGAAGAGAACACTTTAAGTAGGTGAAATGCATGGTGTGTGAATTATCTCAATAGAGCTGCTTAAAATAAAAAAATAAGCACACCTGCCACGCTAGGAGGTACTTGTGCTAAGAGCTGGTAAAACCAGGTCTTTGTCTTTAAAGAATTCACAGTCAAGTACCAGAAAGGGACACAGGAAATCACAGTGAGAGCACAAAGCAGTCCGCTATAAGGCAGGTATGCACACCCAACTCTGGAAGCTCAAAAGGAGATCTTAAGAAATGAGACATTTAAGCTGGGTTTTGAGGGGTGAGTAGGAGTTTGCCTCGGCGATGGATTTTCCCAGCCACATCAAGCCCATGAAATCGCATTTGTGACGGCAACTGGCATGAAAGAAAGACCTATAATCAAATCGGTTTGCAGAACTCTAGGTGAAATCTGGCTGAGACCAGGTGGAAAATCCCTCTTTTCCCAGCAAAGAATTCTGAGAACCTCTTGATGCTAAAGCACACTGAGCATCTCCAAGAGGGGGCTGAGCAGCGTGTGTCTTCCAGGCCCATCTGGCCGCGGACTCCGTGTGTTCTTCCACACAGAACAACACTAATGCCGGCAGGGCCGGGGTTCAGGACCCCACGGGGGGGCCTGGACCGGGCAGGTGGCCGGAAGACAGGAAGGCCCCGCAAGTCACACCTCCAAGCACCTGGGGGGCACTGCACTCAGCACGTCCAGAGACAGTCACGGACTCAGAACATCCGTGGAAAATTCACAGGTACCTGCTTGGCGGGTCCTCGGAACTCAGAGAATTAAACTGGCTGTCTTCTGCTACTTCCGGTGCTTCTGCTAAAAAGGAAAAGAATTCATATTGTTTGATGCCTGCTGAAAATGATTAGAAAATTGATTTTCATCCTTCAAATGATTTCATATTTTGCTTTCTTATCAACTGTAGGCTTAACCTAGCATAAAGATGATTAACTGATAGATTTTGGGGTTTTTAGCTTTTAGATAAAATGTATTCCAAATTGGTTACAATGAAGAGCGACAACCAAAGCTCTTATGAAACAGCCAGAAATAAAATGATACCCAAATAAATCAAGCTAGACTTAAAACAAGACATCGTATTCTCCCCCATTTCTTAAGTTTTCATGGGAAATTATAGTTGTGATTTATTTGAAAGTGTGTCTCCGTGGCAACCTCAAAAGATTTTCAGGGGGAAATACTTAAGTTCCTGATATTTGACAACCAAACTTTTTCCTACACTCACACGTGCACACATGTACATTCACACATACACAGCCACACCCTACACTCACATGCATGCACACTCATATTCCTACATATGCACACGCTCACACACACAAGTACTCACATGTGTGCACTCACATTCCCACATGCACACTTGTGCATGCATATACTCACATGCGTGCACTCATATTACCACACATGAACACACTCATGCACCCACATACACTCACATTCCCGCCCACATTCATGCACACACAAACGCGCACATTCCCAAACATGCACACTCTTTCACACGCGTACAAATACATTCACATGTGTGCAACTCACATTCCCACACACTCATGCACACGTGGACACTCACATGTGTGCACTCACATTCCCACACACTCATGCATACCATAAACTCACGTGCGTGCACACCCCCACTCCCACACATGCGCACACATGAAGTCCATCTCACACACCTGGTCTGGTCGGTGTTGTTGCTCGTCTGGCTTTGATTTACCAAGAGGAGTGACACGCTCGGGACAAAAGTCTTGGAGCTCAGTGGCTGCGTGGTAGCTGCTATGCTGCCAGGGCTGCCCACAAAAATCCTTTTTCAAGGGATTTATTTCATGCTAAGCCACCATTCTTGAACACTTCCCAACTGCTCAGTAGTTGACAGCTCAGGGAAGCCGGGCTCCCTGTGGTTAGCTTGGGGGCTCCACCCGTAAAGACGGCCGCCTGACCCCAGTAAGTAACACGGTGCCCATGACTCCGTGGTGGGGGTTTGCCGGGCAGCACACCAGGAACCTCACAGACATTAACTCGAAAGCTCTCAGGGACCTGAACACTTAGGTTTCTTCCCAAGGACCACAGGGCAGGTCTCAGAGGAAAGGCATCTCGGGGGGAGACAGGCAGAGCTGTGAGCCCCTCGGTCCCCGTAAACAAAGAGTCCAGCTAGACAGACCAACTGCAGAGCCTGCAGTTCACGGAGCAGTGGATGACACAGAGCACATGCACACATAACCACAACTTAACATAAAACAGATGAATGCCCCCAAACACACAGGGTTCAGAGCACCTGGGGCGAGGTGGGCCGGGTCGGGGGAGTTCACTGGACCTCCCGAGGGGAAGCGACACCCCAGGTCAGACTCTGCTTCAAACTTTCCCAAACAACAAGCTCTGAGACCGCTCCTTGATTGTGTTGCTGTCACAGGAGACAATCTGGGCAATAAACATGTAATGACTGGGGGTGAGGGTGGGGAGTGGAGGATAAACGGTGAGGCGCAGGTCCCACCACTGCGCATGGCGCCTGCCGAAGTGCAGAGGGGGCCCTACCTTCCTCGTGCAGGGTTGGGGTGTGCACGACGACAGGACTGGAGTAGGCGGGCAGCAGCACGGGCAGGCTGGAGGGCACCGCGTAGCCGCAGGGCACGGGCACCACGTAGCCACTGGGCACATGCAGGCTCACGCTGTCCCCCTCAGCCTCTGGGTCCGGGAGCCGGGGCTGGTCTTCCTGGAAGGGCGTGATGTCGATGACGGAGTAAGGGCTGACTCTGGCTGGGGCCGCAAGCTTTGTCGGTTCCACCGGCACGACCAACACGGCCATGTCTGTCCCCGTGCTGTTTTCTCCTCCTGGAGCCAAACACACACCCGTCAGGGCTACACGCCCTCCAGGGCTGCAGGTAGGAAGGGTGCAGTAAGCCTGAACCCCACCCCACCCAATGCCAGGGCTCCTGGAGGTTCCCAGGCCCATGGGCCTGGAGGAGGCATGTGAGGAGCACCTGGCTTTGGGGCAGGTGGCACGCACATGGCCTGGCAGCTCCCAGGACGGCTTGTCCAGGAGACAGGTAAGTTAGAGCTGCCCAAAGTTGGACCGTAACTGTGCTCGGCTTCTGTTACAGGCAGAGATGCACAGGGCTGGCCCAGCCATCCATCTGGTCATCGAATAAAGCAGCCAGCTCCACCTCCAAATGTCAGAATATAAATTAAACTCCTACATTTAATTCATCTCAAATCACATTAGTGTAAAACTATGTTATGTCCTGCAGTGACCGCGGATGAGGCCATTTTCATTAGAACACAGGAATACCTGCCGCCTCCAAAATATAAACAGAAGGCAACTCGACAGGCTGAAATCGTGGAGCGCAGGACAAGGAAGAGGGTCAGCCAGCCTGCATGAAGTCCTTTCAGCTCACGCCTCCTGAGAGGACGCCCATCTGCAGGGAGAGGAGGGGGCCGCCTGGGGACTCACCTGAGCTGCCGGAGCTGCCGGAGGTGGCATCTGCACCCGCGTCGCAGGCCGAGGTGGCGTCTGCACCTGCGTTGCCGGCCGAGGTGGCGTCTGCACCCCCGTCGCCGGCCGTGGGGACACCTGGGGCTTGTCTGTCAGCTTCTGGAATTTCGTCTCCGCTGTCAAAATCGAACTGTTCTCCCTCCTCCTCTTCGTTATTGTTACTGTCACACTTCACTTCGCCTTCTAAAGTTTAAGGTAACACAACTCACAGTTAACATCTATTGCTAGCGAAACGCTTTTCACACAGAGACCAAAATGGGAAGGACGGTGGGCGGGCTGAGCTGCCCCCACTGCGCTCGCGAGCGCTTTTCAGCAGTAAAAAGGCCTGGAATTAGGCTTCTGGGCCAGTGGTCTCCACGTCCTTCCACAGGCCCCACAGCCCCGTCTGAAATGGAAAAGGAAGTTAGAAGGAAAGGCACTCCACGCTGAGACTGTGGGCTTTGAAAGCCGTTCGGGAAGGTCGAGTCCTACAGATGTTCTGAACCGCAGGGCAAGGTGGGGGGGTCGGTACGCCCGCAGCTGCTACTCCCCCATAGGACGGCTTGTCAGTCCTGCTGCTCCTCGGCTGCCTCTGTCACCCCGCTTGTGACGGTTCTGTCCAAGGCTGCTCTTTGGGGAGGCGGGAGGGGACACAGGGTTTGTAGGCGTGAGGGTTGGTACGTCACAGTCATGCAACGAGACAGTGACCTCAGGCTGGCCTGAGCCCCAATCGCACCCCCACCCGCCAGCAGACGCCCGTCCCTGCCCCGGGGCGGCACCCTCTGTGTGTGGGGAGGGTGCGCCACCGCAGGCCCAGAGCCCGGCTCCACCCGGCTGTGCCGAGGCCACTCAGGGGCTCCGCACGGCTCCTTCCACAGCCGGGACTGACGCGCAGGAGCCTGTGGAGACCCACGGATGGGAGGTGCGGTGAGTTGTGTTAGCGCTGAAGAAACGCTGACACTGACGGAGGCTGGACAGGCGCAGACCCAGGGACTCTCGCCTCTGCGCCCCCAGCTCCAACTCAGCACCCACAAGCTGCCTCTCCGACTGGCCAGCGTCAGGTCACCAAGCGTGGCACATGTCCTCTTAAGAAACACTCCATGGCGGCCTGGCAGCTGGAGTTGCCCCAAATGGCCTTTTCTGAGCATGGGTTGACTGGGGGGTGAATATTTAAAATTAAGGTTTTAGAGGCAGGGTAAAATTAAGGTTCTAGGGAGGGAAATAGACAAGTGTTTACTTGGGTCAATCTACAAACTTCCCTTCCAGCTGGGGCCTTTTGGTCCCGATGAATCTTCGACGGTTGGTCCAAAAAAGAAAACTGTTTTAAACGTGAGGTGTTTACTTTTTCCTTGCGTCTCTGGAATTAGTGATACATTCTAATCGGGGCTTGTAAGGGCGACGGTTTTCATTTCTCCAATGAACAGAGAGGTCAAGGTGTGCAGGACGGGGGAGGACAGAGTCCTCCTGTGCCTTGGGGGGGGGGGGCCAGGGAGGCCCGGCCAGCGACGTCCGGCTGACCGTGATACACGCGGGACCCCAGGGAGCATTCTGGAACACTTCCCACCTAGCTTCTAATGTTTTAAACGTATGATAACGACAAATGTTTACATGGAATCAACAAGAGGCTTCCGAAAAATACTTTTTAAGCGCGTAATTCTGCTAAGAGTGGGTGGTGTGCGTGTCTGGATGGTAAACTGCCAATATGCCCTTTGCGTCCCCTTTGTCTCAGATGTTCTATTACAAAACGTTTATCTTCAGGAAATACAGATCTTCACAATACTTGACTACAAGGATATTTTTTAAGAAACCACCTAAATATCTTATAATAGATTTTTCAAATTATCACACATTCATACAACGAGACAGTATGAAACCATTAAAGTTATTTTGTTGAAGATTATTCAATAATACGGAAAGAACTTCCTGACATATCAATACGTTGTGGGGTTTTTAATGGTCTTTTCACATCACTCAACGGAAGAGAAGAAACACTGGGAAATGGGGGCCGGGGGCCCCCTGCTGGTGGGAACGTGACATGGTGCGGTCGCTATGGAAACAACCGGCAGGGCGATTCCTCAAACAGCCGGAGGCAGAACGGCCGTGAATCCAGCACCCCGCTTCCAGCACCCCACTTCCGCGGCCTGCAGGCTCCTGCTCACAAGTTCCAGGGGCCGCGAGGTGGGGCCGCGCGTCCACGCGGGAGGTGGACACAACGTGTCCACGCGGGAGGCGGACCCCACGCGTCCATCACCGCGGTCAGCGCTGCTCGGCCCCGCGTGGCCGGGCCTGGAGGACGGTGCTCAGCGCTCAGGCCAGTCCCGTGTCACCCCACTGAGGGGTCCCTAAGGAGTCGCAGCCTGGAGAAGGAGGGGGGGCTCACGCGGGACAAGTGCCTGTTTGGGGGGATGACAGAGTTCTGGAGGTGCTGGGGGTGCTTTTACAACCATGTGTGTGCTTACTACCGCTTAGCTGTACACTTAAAAATGATTAAGATGGTACATTTTGTTAGGTATATTTGACCACAGTAACCAAAAATAAACTTGGTTTTGATCATTTAAGCCCTTTCTCCTCACACATAGACCAAAATATTAAGGGGCTGTCTCCGGACGGCTGCTAATGACGAGCATTTTCTCCCTTGTGCTTTTCTGCAATGAATTTTCTACAACAAATACATTTCTTGTCTGTTTCAATGCTGTTTCACTTAACAACATGTTTCCACTTGGCAGTCTAGTCTTTGGGAAACATTAAATCCTTTGGTGTTCATATTTAATTAAAATATAAAAACCACCCATTTCCTAGAAGTCAGAAGAGAACATCTGTTATATAACCTTGAATTTAGCCTAACCAAGTAAAAAAAAAAAAAATCCAGCATGAGAGAACCACTGTCTGCATTGTTTGAGTCTTGCTGACTCACGTACTTTCTAATCAACTCCAATCGTGTCCCAAACAACAAGAAAACAAAGCATATTTTAGAAGATGTTTTTGCCTGTATTACTTAGTCAATATATTTACTAAATAAACTGGTGAACGCACGTTCGAGCAATAAATAAGTCTCTTTAACAGAAGAATAAAAATTTCCAGAACATTTTCCAAATACAATTGCTGGCAGCTCCTTACATTCCAGTTTGCCAGATAAACACGGCAGGAAAACAGCGGCACCCAAGCGCCCTGCCAAAGGCTGCCAGGAAGAAAGGCGCGTTCTGAGGCGGACGCCGCGGGGCTGTCGGTCAGCCGCCAGCAAGCCTGACTCAGAACCATGTGCTTTTCTTTTGTCAACACTGCTCTTCGGAAATTATCTCTCACTACCGCTGAACTTTCACAATTAGAAGGAATACACCTAGAAGTGGTTTTGTGAAAACTGGTTAAAAAAATAAGGCTCAAACAAAAATAAAAATAAAAAAGTAAAGCTCTACAATGTGTAGAGGCTCTTAAGAGTCCAGTGAGAGAACGAGACACGAGCTCTGGGACCCACAGCACATGCGCCCCCGGAGGACAGCAGCCAGCCACCGGACAGGGGACTGCGCCCCCTCCAACCACCGAGGCAGGCGGTGAGCCCCTGAGCACAGGCGTCCTGCTCACCATCAACTACGCAGCCCTCGGCAGAAACTGGCCTGCCAACCGCTCCACATGTGCTGTCAAACAATGAACAAATGAGTGAGTGAACGAATGAACAGATGAGTGAGTGAACGAATGGACAGATGAGTGAGTGAACGAATGGACAGATGAGTGCGTTACAAACATTTTTCTGCCTGAAACAGTCACTGTTCCCTCATAAGACTTCAGGGAGAAGCCCAATCCACAGAACGGAACAGAAGTGAAAAGAACCCCTCGGAAGTTTACACCTTGATTCAGGACATGACACCGAGCGGCAGCCTGCGGAGTGCCAGGCGGTGTCCCTGCTCCCACGGGCGGGGGAGGAGGGGTGCTTTCAGCCTCTCACAGTGAGGAAAGGATCCCCACTGCAGCGCTCGGCCCACCCGGTGGGGTGACGCACATCGGACTCCCCCGGAACGCAGTTCTAGAACATAGCTGCTGCTGTGCACCCTGCTCTGGCAGCAAGCCTGTGCTCCCGCGTGGTGACCGCCCGGGCCCACGGACAGCACCAAGGGACCCTCCCCCGCCTCACCCCCACCAGCACTCCCCCCACAGGGCTCCCACGAGCACCTCGGGAAGACTGTGTCCTCACGGAAGTGTCAGCGACACCAGCTGTCACACAGCAAATGTGTACGGAGCACGCACTCTGCTGCACGCACTGCTGTGGGTCTTTGGGGGCCCCGGGAATCCCTGGCCTCGTGGGACCTACATGGAGCCTGCGGCACCTTCCGGTCTAGTGCAGCCAGGCGAGGTCCTGGGTGACGAGCAGCGCGGGGCGCCTTTGAGAGACCTGGGTGTAGCTGACATCAGTGTGATGAACTGAATCATGTCCCCAACTCCTGCGTCCAAAGCCCTAGTGGGACCTTGCCTGGAAACACTTCTCTGCAGAGCTGGTACTTCCAGAAGCCAAGGGACACCCAGGGCTGGCGGCCACCCCCAGGGTGCAGAGGTGATGATGCAACCACCGGGGTCTCGCATTCATCATAATGACCTCCGCTTTTCTGGAAAAGCTTTTTGGTGGCTCTAAATTCAGGGGTCATCTGGCGAAGGGATTTTCTGGGAACTGGCTTGCTTCCAAAGCACACAAATGAAAGGTGTGAAAGGGGCTGAGCCAGCATGTGACACAAAAGAGGCAAAACACAGACAGGACAAAGCCCTCCCTGGGCCCGGGAGCTGGGCAGCGACGGGCAAAGCACCAAGGTCACCCCTGAGGGTGATGGGAACAGATCACAGGACTGAGGGACGTGGAGGCCGCTCGTGCCACCTCCTGGAGCCGAACGTGGGGGACGGCCAGCAGGGACGGCCGAGCTCACAGGCCCCACGCCGCGCAGTCTCAGCGCCCAGACCAGCTCCCCGTGCCACCCGCTCTGGTGTCCGAGCTCGTGAGCACAGCCCTCTCCCTGGAGGCCTGCCCAGGGCCCTCCCCAGAGACCGTCCCTCTGGCCGCGTCCCGGGCTTTCCAGGAAACCACAGGCTCCACTGTCCCCAAGAGCCGATGGTCACCGGGGCTGACCAGTCACTGAGAACAGCGGCCACCTGAGCCAGCCTTGGTGTCCCTCACTGGCAGGGCCCATGACACAGCCGTGGCCGCACTGACTGACTTCTGAGCA